ACAACTCAAAAGCATGTATTTATAACATCACAGACAATTATAAAGTCCTTACAGACAACTCAAAACAAATGACAGACAACTCAAAACAAATGACAGACAACTCAAAACAAATGACAAACAACTCAAAACGAATGACAGACAACTCAAAACAAATGACACACAACTCAAAACAAATCACAGACAAGGAAATATGAAAGACAAACATGTATTTAAAACATCATAGACATTTATGAACTCCTTACAGACAATTCAAAACATGTAACAGACATCTCACAATACACAAACAACATGTCAGACAACTCTTAAATCACATAAACAAAATTAGGTCTTGTTTAATTAAATTAAATCAATTATGCTAAAGTGACTACTACACAAGGATGAAAAAATTACCTTTCACCAAGATCTGTCAAACTACTTCGCACCATAACTTCAAACTGGTTTCCACGTAGAAGCGAGGGGTGGTTGCGCTCGTTCCTTCTCTGCGCCACACAGGGGTTCAGCCTTGTACCAGCGCAAGCCGTTCGTTGTTGGAGCAAGCCTTCGTCGGTTTTTCAAAGTAAGTGCCACACAGGATTTCGGCCCTCTTTTCTCTGCGTTGTTGTTTCTCCCACGTAGCAGGGACACATCGGCGAAGCTCAGTTTAGTACAACGAAGGTCGGTTCTATCCCCTTCATCTTCAGTCCTCTGCATTAGTGTTGGCCGAACGGGAGTAGGGCGGAAGATTCGGATTTCGAGGGGTGCGTGCGGGAGTGGGGCGGGAGATGTCGATGGGTGGAAGACAAAATTCAGATGAGGTAAATTTTTGAATTGGGAAGGGAGGAAGGTAAAAAAAAAGGAGAGCCTTTTTATATGGGGTGCCAAAGGTGTACACAATTTGTGTACACCTAGCAAAATTCTTCAAGTATATAACTTGATATGTTAGAGATATCTTGTCTTTATCCATTACAGTCCAAATTTCATAAATTTCATCAGAATTAACCAATACAGTCAATTTGGGTATTACCAATCGGGCTATGATACTACTATTATATTCAAACTCTCCTTCCATCCCACACAGGGCAGTCTTTAGAATTATTTGGGCCCTAGACAAAAATATAAATAGTACATTACTTAATATTTGCATATCATATTCTTGTGATTTTTATATGAAATAATTACAAATTTATGATTAAATTAAAGATTGTTTAAAATATTGTGACCACTTAAGAGCGACTATAGTACAGAATAGTATTTTTAGTCGTTGTAATGTATGTTCAATTCTTGCATTTAATAACGATGAGACTATACTAAAATATGGAATAACTTTTAGTCAAATTTTTGTAAATAAATTTTCTTTTAGTATTTTTTTTGAGGAAAAATCTCTTTCTATATCACTAAAGTTCCAAAAAACATACTCCGTATATCAGTAAGATGAGCAAAACACACAATATGATGAACAAAGCACAATTGAAGCGCACATTATATTGTGAACATGAAAATGATTAATTTGTACTACGTAATTGTTAACATATGCACAACTTAGTAAATCTATTCTTTTTTAATACTTTTTTCTTACGTTTTGAAGTGCAAAATTGGTAAGGACATAACTATAATCAAAACTAGTTAACACTTTTCTTTAATAGCTAATATCTTACTCATTTAATCTATCTTCTTACCTGGTTGATTAAACATAATTTTTAATCGTTCTAAAATATAACAATATGAGTTTAATTCTGACTACATATAAAAATTTACTTCCACAGGACCACAGGTACTACAATAATTTTATCACAAATGCTATTGCTACCTCATTTTGTACTCACCCCTATATTTATGGTTCACAGAGGCACTTCATTAAAATGGAGCAATTCATTGAATGTGTTGGATTTTTGTGAACCACAAATATATGAAGGGGTAGAAATGAGGTACCAGATAGGGTACCTCTAGCAAAACGCTAAATTTGTACATTCACATCAAAGTGTCAATACACCAATAAAGTAAAAGCGGAATAATCAAATAAATTAATATTAACAAAACCAATAGTCCTTTATCCTAAATTTAACACAATTCTAACTTTTTATTTTTATTTACGATTATTTGTCCCAAATTTGTGAAGTTCTGTTTCACTAATTAAGCCGGTTGATTTTATTTGCGAATAAAATTTAACTACAATTTAAATTAACTACAAATATATAATACTAATATTTTTTTTTTAATTTGGAGGCCCCTGCAAATTGGGGGACCGTCTAGGCTAAATGCTCCCATGGCCGGCTCTGATCCCACATGCAAAATAAAGATATTTTTTGTCCAGTATTAACTAATTAAAATATTTTCTTACAAAAATATTTTCATAAACATATAAAATTTGTAAACTTCACACCAATAAATACTTATCATTCGTCAACATTTATATCAAGAAAAGTCAATATTATCAAGTTTAGAATATTTAAGACAGACGATGCAGGACAAAATATTAGCTGATGCATTGCTCGTTGTTTCACCAATGCAGGAAGGAGTGAAGGTGGGATGCGGTCCCAACTTGGTTTGATAGTGGACGATATTCGTGAATTGATGAATCAGTTTAGTAGCGCATCATATTTATAGATTAGTTAGGCGATTCAAGAATCGTGCAGTTCACGAGTTAGCTCGAGTCGCAGTTTCCATGTCTGGTTGTCACTCCTGGTTGTTCTTTCCTCCTAGTTGTATGGTGAATGCTTTCAACTTTGATTTGATTAATAATACTTAATTATATTGCTCACAAAAAATAGCCGAAGTACTATTTACAGTTGAGAGATATTCCTAGATCATAAATGATAATGATGACCATGAATGTATTCTTTGGTTCAAATTGATTAAAAAGGTATATTTAACTTTTGTTTTGAAAGGAAAAGGTATTTAACTTTTAAAAGTGGCTGCATTCCGGTCCTCACAATTCACAAAGTCACAGCCAAATATTCCTATTGGAGGGAGGATAGTCAATGAGAGAATATATGAAAAGGGTGGTTTGGGAAGTTAGGGTGGCTCATTTGATTAGCATTCATCCTTAAGCAACCATTTGTTCAGCGGTTGGCCGAAAAGGGAAGTGATCATGAATTGAAGGATATCATATTTATGTGATAAGAGGACCATTGAATGGATACTATAATTATTTTTTCTCCTAGGAAAAAAAAAACTTTAGTGAAAATAAACATATTAGTTACTTATTTTTATGTGTCAATAAAATAAACATTAAAAGTTATACGTAGTATAGTTCAGATTGAAAATTGACTAAAATTGATGTCAAAAGATTGGTGAAATACAACAGAAACCAATATCATTACGAGTGGATGTCTCAAATTTGTTGTGAATTGTGATATACTCTATATCCTATATGCTTTATTAGGCTTATGTTCTACAGCAACTTAATGCTTTCAATTTTAATTTATTGGTGACAACTTCATATTATTTACTTCTTTTGTCGGACAACAAACCTTGGAGATCAAGAGTTTCAAACTTTGTCAAAGCAAAGAGTATATGAAGTGCAAGTTTGATGGAGGTAGAAGTAGTAGTAACAATGGGATTAGCCTCCACATAGCAAGGAGATATAAGTGTGTGATATGCTTCTTTACTTGGGCTCTATAATTAAGAAAGATGGTGAATTTGATGGAGATGTATCCCTTAGAATCAAAGCAGGGTGGATGAAGTGGAAGAGTGCATCAGGATTTCTATGTGATCAAGGTATGCTGACTAGACTGAATGATAAATTTTATCGGATGACAATTAGGCCTGCACTAATGTATAGTGCAGAGTATTGGGCGGTGAAACAATGCCACATTCAAAAGATGAGTGTGGCAAAGATGCATATGTTACGTTGGATGTGTGGATATACCAGAAAAGATTGCTTGAGGAATGAGATAATCAGACAAATGGTGGGAGTAACACCTATAGAAGATAAGATGTAAAAGTCTCAATTGTGATGGTTTGGTCATGTGCGTAGGAGACGAGTGATGCACCTGTTAAACAATTTGAGAGGTGGGGAGAAGAGATATGTAGGAGGGGGAGGGAGAGACCTAAAGAGACTTGGAATAGAGGAATCAAAACTGATATGTGTCTTCTTGGGTTGAATGAGAGTATGACTTTGGAGAGAACAAATTGGAGGGGGCGAATGATCTCTTCTCTTACTTTATCTCTTTTATTCTTTTCTATCTTGTGTTTTTATGTTATTTTTATCTTATCCATCTTATCTTTTTTTCTTTCTTTTTTTTTTCTTTAACTTTTTTCCTATTTTTCTTATTTGTTAATATTTCTTATCTTTCTTCTCTTTTTGGCTATGATATTTTGAAATTAAAGGCTAAAATATTGTTGTCAATTATATCTTAATTGATTGAGATTTTATAATTGGGACAGGGACTCATACCTGTATTATACATTCCTCACAAATATGATTGAACTCGGGCAGATCTTCGTCCCCCGCCAAGGAAATAAATAGTTATAACATCTATATACAACAATAACAGTACAACCCTAGTTTCACAAAGGCTTCTACTTACAAGAGATAAGAGCATCTCCATTGGAGGGTGCATTGCATCTGATGTGGCATAGGAGAGAGATAGAGATAGAATAAATATTGGGATGAAGTGGTGTGTAGGGAAAAATGAAAAAGAGGAGAGAGATAGAGGTAAAAATGGACCAAGGTCTATGACATGGTCCATATATGGACCTTACACGGGATTCGAGGAGGAAAAGTTGATGAAAAGTGGGTTAAAAGTGATATAAAAAATGAAAATGAAAATAAATTGGGAAATATGTGGGTCCTACAAATAAAATTTGTGAGATGAAAAATGGGACCCATGTGTAAGGGTGTGTAAGAGACCACACCCTTGCATTGGAGATGCTCTAAGGGGCTCAGATGTACCGAATGACTCATTATGAAAATCGTGTCGACAATTACACGAATTGCCGGTTACTTCATAACAAAAAAACGCAGATAATTTAGTGAGTTATTTTGGTTAATTCCATCATATTTCCAAAGTAAAAAATAATGAATCTTTGACTCTACTATCTACTATATAGGATGGAAATAGTTACATGTATATCAGTATATCCATGAAATTAATTTAACCGCCAAGAAAATAAATAAATCGGTATCCAACATTGTCATTATGTTCGTTCTGTCAGTGAATTTACACCATACATAATGACTCCGAAGGAATCCATGTTAACATGTTACAACTATACATTACAGCATGATACACTTTTGCCGCTTATACACATTTACAGTTCACCCCATATTGTACACTCCAAGTGACATTTAAACCTTTTATTTATTGTACTTCTATGCCGAGGTGGTCTCTCCCACGATAATGGGACAAGAAAAAAATTACTTCTCGTTTATTTACCTTTCTCCATCTCACGTCAAAGCTTTTCTGTTGTATCATTGTTGCATTCCCTTTTAGGATGTCTTTGCAGGCAGAAAATTCATGCAGATCGGAGCTTTGACTTTGGTCAACGCAAGTATCGACAATGGGAGGATCCACAATCCATCACCACATATCAAACCCGAGGCAACTGCAGGAACCATCAGTTTCGCCTTCTTGCCGTTCATCTTGTGTCAACCATACACAACGAGACTACCAACACACATATCAATGGCAAACGAAGCCCCAACAAGAAATGGCACAGCCATCGCCATCGGGAGCGGGATCCACTTCCCGACCCTTCCCGGGACCACATCTCTTGCCAGGTTGGCAACCAATGCAAATGCGAAAAAACCATAACATAGCTGTAAACAATGTCGGGGAAGTGCGGAGAAGCCTTGAACGCCAAGGATGGCCATGTTTCTATATATGATAGCATAAGGAGCTTTGTATTCCCCGTTTGGGTTGCCCACGTCGAACGTCTTGTAGAAGAGGAAGAACGTTAGTGGGGCCACCACACAACCCATGGCGGTCCCAATCGCTTGGCTTATGAGCATCGATCGTGGGGATGTAAGGGTAAGGTGGCCTGTTTTGAAATCGTGCATTAAATCGGATGAGATTGAGACAATGGACTTTATGAGCCCACACCCAATGAGTCCGGCAATTACACCGTTTTCTTTCCCAGACAAAGCGGCTAATGTAAAAAGAGCCACCTTCCCATAGTTATATGCCATGTTCATGTCTGTCAGACCAGCTCCATAAGCATTGCAGAAGCTTAAGGCTGGTGCAAGGGTGTAGGCCACTAGGACGAAATACCACTTCAATGGAGGAAACATGATCGGGATTATGATTATGGAGATAATGGAGAAAACTGTGTACCCTATGCATGCTACCCACAAGGGAATGCTCTCTCTAACGAACACTTCGTTTCTTTGAAGATTGTCAATACAATGCTCAATCTTTGTTTCTGGGACTGCTGCCAAGGAAATATCTTTGTCATTAGGACAAATTTTTCGCAAGTGAAACTTGAGCAGAAAAGCATAGATCTTTCCATTTTATTCATTGAAACAATCAATATGTAGAAAAAGGTTGATTTAATGAAGTTCCACTTTTTAATCCATTCTCTCATTCTTCTAATCTTTATTTATACATACAAGTACCCCTTTGGGAGTAGACTTTGCATGCTTATTAGCTAGCCTGTCTAGTGTCTAACAAAAGGTAGTGTTTGTGTTGGCTTATGTCGGTGAAAATGATGTATATTGAGAAATGCTTAATTTTAAAAGTTGGTAGAATTTGAAGCTAGAAGTTATTTTTTTTAAATATAGTTTTGGGTTGAAAAGTATTTTTGGTGTATGAATCAAGTGAAATATTACAGAAAACGAGGAAACCAGTTTTAGATACCCTTCTGAAAGCAGAAAGTAAAAAAATAATAGTTTTGGCAAATAAAGCGGTCACTTATGGTTGAACCTATTTACAAAGAGTAGGGCATGTGTCATTTTCTTGCACGTAATGGTTGAAATCAAAGAAAACAACATGTTACCTGTATTTCCATTTTTATTTCTTTAATTTGTCAATTATATAATTTTGAATTAAAAAAAAAAAGATAATTCTGGCAATTTAAGCTAGTTTAGTGAATTCAGCTCAATTTACTCTTCTCAAAAGGCCCGCTAAATATCCACGAAAACAAAGACAAAAGTATGATGACAGGAAATCAAGGATTCACTTACACGTCCTAGAATTTCTTTTCTTCAGTGCAACATATATGCTTCGACCAGTATAGAATGCCGTCCGAAGAAAATTGTAGAGACCATCACCTAGGATGAGAGCAATAGAAATAAAAACCTGCACGTTAAGAAAATTATTGTTAATTACTGTAAATTTACTGGTCAACAAAAATAGAGATATTTTTTGGACCTTATAACCATTTAGACTCTTCATGCTGCTTTCTGGTATAGAAGCAGGGAACCATGAACCTTTACGCGCACCAATTAGCGGCCACATTATTCCCCAAGAGAGAATGGCTCCAAGAAGCAAAGACAAGTTCACCAGGTGAGAACAAATCATTCCTGCTCCTATATAAGTCATGCTGAAGTCGAAGAAAAATCTGCAAAATTTCAACTGTCTAAATCATCAAGTGATTGAAACAATACAACTCTATTTAAATCATGCTATGAACAGATAAAGAGGACATACGAGTGTTTCCAGGCTTTCAACCCAAAGGTGGGGAAGTTTGCAAACCCACACTGATCACCACCTGAATAAAACCACTGGAACAAACTCCACAAAAAACTGGCCGAGGTGAATTTCACAAATCCTCGTACCTGTTTCCTGGAGGGATCCAAGGCAAGGAAGGGTAAATTTTGTATAGATTTTGCATAAACTAGTCTCCACAAGGAAAAGTTTCAGTTTTTGTTAGGTCCAAATGAGGGGAACGAAATGGAAGTGTATATGAATATGTTATTTTTGGTCCAATCGAGGAGTGAAGGGAAATATAAAAAAAATATAATATGTCATTCGTTCTTTATTAGTTGTAATAGTCTGATTTTTTCACAATTTACATAATTTACTTTCACCAGTTTTATTTTATTTATGTATTAAAAAACCATATGTAAAATATGGTCATAGGAACTTTTTGAAATATCAATAATGTTAATAATTTACTTGTGGATAATTATATGTACTCCGTATTAATGATCAAAGTGTGCATTGAAAAACTGAACTGTTTAAACTAAATAAGAATGGAGGAAGAATATATTATAAATCTTTTGTTGTGGTAAGAAAAGTGTGCAAGAATAAATGTACGGAGCATAAAGTTTTTTAAAAGGTGAAAGAAAAATCAAGAAAAAATACAACTCTCTGAAATATCCTGAATTGAGACAGGCAAGGAGCTAGGTTTGGAGGAGCCTGTAAAACAAAAAAAGTTGCTCACATCCCCCCCCCCCCCAAAAAAAAAACAAAAAAATAAATAAAATGCCTCTAAACAACTAAGGGCTTTTTTTTTTGGTAAAACAACAACTAAGGGCTTTGATTTTAGTAATAGTTGCTTACTTCGCATCACCATCTCCTTTGGGGGTATGAAACCCATTAATCAGAACCGCAGTAGCAGTTCCACTAGGATATGTTAGCTGATAGTCTATGATCATTATCTGCACAGCAACAAAATCTTGACTTAGACATTACTCCATATGTATTTTTAATTCAAAGATGAGAAAAGAGTACCTTTCTGAGAGGAACCAAAGCTAATAACCCAACAAAGCTAACCACAAAGAGGAACCCAATTATCCAGTCCAGCCTTGGCTCCTTATAACTCCCTGCTACATTTCCTATTGTATCCACCCCAGCTTGCTCATACGTCTTCTTGTTCAACCCCAGGAGATAAGATCCAAAACCACCTTAAAACAACATTAGTTAATTGATAAAATTAGTCACATCCCACTTTCTGGAAATGATTGGAAACCAACTGTAAGGGTCTGTTTGGATCATGGAAAATACTAGGGGAACAAAATATGAAATAAAAAATAGAAAATTTTGATTTTGAAGATCATGAAATGTGGGGGGGTTGAAGATAAGTTAAAGCTTAAAACAAGCACACACAAAAATTAGATACTTATTATTATTCGTTTTTCTTATTTATATAGTGCTCGTTTATTAAACATATGCAACAAAAAAATTAAACAAATAATTGCATTTGATTCTCTTTAGCATTTTCCAGCGTAAAATCAAGCATAAAGAAGTAACTTTTCAACGTTTTTACCCTTCAATAGGATCCAATCATATACTAAAAACCATTGCAGAAAAAGATTAGTTGCTGACCTCCAACAGCAATGCTGTAGCAGGCAACAGCACATGTCTGAATCACAGTATTCTCCTGCCTAGTGAATGGAGTTGAAACCAGATTAGCCTTTTGGAGAAGCTTAATCCAAGACTGCATTATCACATAGGCAAGAAGGGCAGCTGAGACATTTAGATTTGGGACAAGTCCAGTTGTCAGATTGAGCTTCATCACTATAACACTGTAAATCATTCCAATCAAACAGCTCGCTATAATCCCTCGAAATGTTATTTGCTTCCTCCAAGGAGGAAGAGGAACCCTCTTCGCATCCTCTGCTTTTTCCCTCTCTTCTTCTCTTTCAATCTCCATCACCTCTTCCGCCTCTTTCCCCTCAGCATTCCTCATTCTACTATCACACCGCCAGAGATTTTATTCAGATTAAAATTACCCTTCCCACAAATCTAAACCCAAAACCAGAAATGGAAAGATACAATTTGAGAGTCTTACCTGAGTAAGTAGACCAAAAATCTAAATCAAGAACTGATTTTTATTCCGAACAGAAGAACATAAATAATTTCCCAGAGAAACCGGGGAAGAATTCCCACCAACCGCTAAGGCAGAAAACCCAATTCTTTTTTTTAATGTATTAATAAAAGAAAATTCTCAACAGCTATGAACTACTACCACCATTGATGTGGAGAAGGAGCTAGCAATAGAACGAAAGGTGGAGGTTATAAAGAATTACCAGAGCTTAGACCAAACGCTTGTACGACATGGTAGTACAAAAGCAAAAAACACATCCTCATATGGTAGGTGTACTACAAAACTTTCGAACAAAGCACAATATTAACGGCAATCAATTCGCGGAAGAAGATTCTTAAATAGCTGGTGGGCTATAAATGTTTCTTCGCGTTGACCAGTTTGTCCGTATGCCGAATTCTCAAAGGAGGAGTCAGTCAATAATGGAATGCAGAGTAGATAATACTCCGTATTTAGAGCAAGAAAAAAGATGGATGATCCTCACCTCAAAAAGGGGCTAACTTTATAGGAGGAGTGTGCAGCACCACTGTTCGAGCATTTGTCCGTGTGGCGCTTGCAATTGAGGGAATGATTCTTCTTCACCCTTCTTTCCAGTTAATCATCGCATGTATTTCGGCTGCATTTTATACGCTGTCCAGCATCATTATTTTCCTTGTCTGTATTCTTTCTCTGTCTTTTTGTTAGGAAAAAAATTAATGGTTTCTGGTTTCCCTCCCAGGCATATAATTGCGGTCAGTTTACGCCCCCGCGTAATGTCGACATATGTTTACATTTTCTATGGAGGCTAAATTGTCTGGTTTTTCTCTAAACTCTATTTTGTTAAAGTCAGACTTCAAAAGGGCTGTATAATAAAAGTCATAATGTGGCTACTATGACATTGTTAGTTTTTCTTATGTCACTCATACTCACTGACTCAGTATCGGTGTTGCGATTGCCGTAATATCAGTACGGGTGGTGGATTGACGATTTGAGTTTTGAGCATTCGATTTTTTTCTATCATTAAAACTTTAATAATTAATCACCCTGAATATACACATATATATGCAAAGAACACTTTCGATACGCGGCTCGGCCAGTCCGCCACTGATCATTACCGCCATCAAGGATGTAGTTGCTAGCGGTAGTTGTTGCTACTTGGTAGAGGCAACGGTGGGGTGTGGGGAAGGGATCCGGAGCCTCTACCTTACTTTAGATTAAGGTAGGCTGCCTTGCTTCTTCCGGGTCGTCCGATCAACAATTCAACGATCGGAGATCTTGAGCTCCACTTTTTCGCTAATCTCGAGGCCTGCTATGCTACTGTCCGACCATCTGATGCGCAAGGCACCGTCCTAGTCGGGCAGAGGATCCCAGGGGTGGGGTGAGTAGTTAGGTAGAAATTACAACGGAAATAATAATGTATATTAACTAAACAAAGATTAATCACATTTTTAGAAAAACGAACACTACTCATATTGCTTTTTTGCTGTTTTGAGTGTTTTCCCTTATTTGTCTTCACTAAGAACGCTTTTAATTATTGGGCATAAATATAGTGGAATTACCCGCGTGGTTAGGGTGAGTGAATGCATGAGTAGTTTGATTAAATTATTTGTATACAAAATTTGTTAGAAATGGATAAACAAACTATATGAAGAAAATGTTTCTAGCTTGGATTGTATGGAAAAGTAAAGCAAAAAGAACTACAATAACCATAATAATGGGATAAGATTGATATCAAATAGTAACAAAAACAAAATTTTATTGTTAGGACAAATAGTCAAATATTTATTTGATTGTAGTGCTTGGTGAAAAGTAAGAGTTTGACGAAAACAAATTAGCTTTATTAATAAAAAGTAGTAAAAGTCAAAGTAATCACGTTGTTTTCTTGCACTGCAAATCAACATGTGAATCCTCTAATCCTGAGTGTGGGGGCTTCATCTTTGATGAAGGCTATGCGGGGTAGATGAATCAATGTTAGTACCAACGATGTAATGAGATGCATTTCAAATGTAGTACGAAGTATTTATTTTATAGAGGGTAGAGTTTACTATATGGAGTGTTTGGATCTACTTAAAAGTTAAAACTACTTTTGCTCTTTCAGAGAGCGGAAGCAGGTATTGAAGTGATTGAGTGAAAGTGTAGAAACACTTTCCGAGTGTTCTAAATTGCTCCTAGAAGCAATTTTTAGAAGCTGAGGGAGACAAACTTCTAAAAAATGATTCTGGTTCTACTTTTATTTTAAAAATGAAGCAGAAACACAATCAATTCCAAACACCCCATAATTTATTATACTACCCTGAATAAAAATGATTCGGGTGTTAAAACAGTCTGAAAGACATTACTTTTAAGGAACGAAATGTACTTGAGAAAATTATAAGTCGATTATACTCATTTGTTTTTGCATTATACCCCAAATTTGTCTGCTAAGTGCTGGGTAACAAACATATATGAGAATAATCTGCCAAATGTGGATGTGTTTGTGTGTATGTATGGGCGTACCGCGTACGGCTGACCCAAAAAGGGACCTGCCAATCATGGTGGTGAACATTGTCTTATCGGTGATGGCGTACGACTACCCGCCGGAGAAGCTCGGTGTTTACCTGTCTGATGATACTGGCTCTGAGCTTACCTTGTATGCTCTATTGGAGGCTTCCATCTTCTCTAAGCATTGGCTTCCCTTTTGCAAAAAGATCAATATTGACATCAGGTTCCCTACATCTTATTTTCCTCATCATCAAGATGGTGTTGGCCCACAGATCTCTCCATGGCTCCATGCTCAAGGTGCATCTCTATTTTAAAAATTGCTTTATAGAACCTTGACACATTATTTAATGAGAAAAATAGTAGTGATAATGAATAGTGCAAGAAAAATATGAAATATGGTGTAAAAGTAGGAAGAGAACATAAAATGTAGAAAAAGTAAAAGCACTTAAGTATATCTAATTAAAGGGAAAACTAACCTTCTAGAAAAGAAAGTGTAGCAAATTTTTAAATACATTAGAAAAGAAAAGTATAGTAAACTTTAAAATAAGGAGAGAAAACCAAAAGGAGGGGAAAATGAAATAAGTAAATGTGAGCTGAACACTTCACATGGACATTTTAGCAAATACATAGCAATCAAAATAAAAGAAAGGCATACAAACAAATAAGCAAGGAATATAAACACATAGCATCAATAATAAGTCTTCCAGGTCCATTATTGTTTTAGAAACCCAATGCATAATATTCTAGACAGAAGATAAATGGTGCCACATGCAAGAAGCAAGTAGATTAATATTTGCTGGAGAAGCTTTGGTCATTACTGCAACAAAAATTTGCAGCGACCCCTTCCAAAACTTGATGAAGACCCCACATTCCGTTTAACAAGGATAACAATAATCACAATCACAAAGACATAACACCTCAAAATTCCATCAAATACATCATAGCCATTCTTGGAGGATTAGAAGGTAGAGTAAACATTGACTACAATGCAGAGAATTACCTAGAGCGAATTGACGAAGCTGAAAACTCTGCACGTCACAAGGAACGAGTCTCCCCGAGCTTGAAACCGGGTCGGAGATGAGACCGCCGGCAGTTGCTCTATGCGCTGCGGCATGGAGCTATTACCTACCGACGGTTCTTCAATATGACACTTTTTCGAGTTCCGGTATTGCACAAGAAATACGTAGTAGTCAAATAGTCTAGCATCGGGTAAATTTGACGCCGTGTCAGTTATAGTGTGATTACAGCTTTAATTTGTAACCTAATAAGCATCCGGTACAATTGGCCAAGGCAGAAAGGAGACACCAACATTTTTCACAAGACCATTATACCCCTAACAATATTCATGCTTATACAATTGTAGAGATACTCCGTATCATTTATCATGTCCACCAACATAATATTTTTCATATTTAAACTTTCAACATTCCACTTTTATTTTTGGCTAAAGGGTCAAATAGGTACATGAACTAACTTAAAGTGTTCAATTAGCCCCTTATATAGGAGGTTCTGCTCGGTCGTCGCCAATTGGGGTGGTTCCCGGTCGAATTTTTTGATGAAATTTTTTTAACATCTTCTTCATTAAGCCTAGTTTACCCATATCAAATTTCAGCTAAAAATTAAATCGGCAAGCCAGTCAAATGGTTTTCCGAAATGTACTGCGGTGTTTAACTGCGTAGTTATCTTCAAAAAATCATTTGACTGCCTTCCCGGTTGAATTTTTAGCTGAAATTTGGTATGGGTAAACTAGACTTAATAAAGAAGATGCTCAAAAAATTTCATCAAACAATTCCACCGGGAACCGTCCCAATTGGCGACGTCCGGGCAGAACCTCCTATATAAGGGGCTAATTGAACACTTTAAGTTAGTTCATGTACCTATTTGACCCTTTAGCCTTTATTTTTATACATAACCCCTTTTATTTTGAAAGAGTCTACACGCTAAGCCTAATCAAAACATGACTCTACATCAGCCTTCATCTCCCGAAGCTTATGTTTGTATTCCATATTTTCCTATCAAACTCCTCAGTAGTCTCTCTTAGCAACTTCACTTTAACTGCGGCACCACCACTTCACCCGGTGTAAAGGTGCAGGTGACAAGCTCTAACTTCAACTTGAAAATGTGAGAGTCCCAAAGGGTGGTACACTCGTACTAGCGAGATGCAAGCTAAATGTAGAAGAACTAACGTTTCAAACATATGACCCATATTTTGGATTATACATAAACGTATATGACCCATATTTTGGATTATACATAAACGTATAGTCCCCCCCACCCACCCACCCAAGTCTTTGAATACACACACACACACACACATATATATATATATGGAAAATTTTCTGGTAAGGTATACCTTACCGAAGCCGCCGTGCGGCCTCCACGTTTTGAGGGCCTTCCCGGTGGAATTTTTCAATGAATTTTTTTGAGCATGTTTGTCATCAAGTCTAATACATCCATACCAAATTTCAGAAAAAAAAAAATCAACCGGGACGGCAGCCAAACGTTTTTTGGAAGATAACTGCGTTTTATATGTATATAAAGGGTGCAGTTATCTTCCAAAAATCATTTGACTGCCTTCTAGATTGAATTGTTTGATGAAATTTGGTATGGATGTAATACACTTGATGAAGAACATGCTCAAAAAATTTCATCGAAAAATTCCACCGGGAAGGCCCTCAAAACGTGGAGGCCGCACGGAGGCTCCGGTAAGGTATACCTTACCGGAAGAGTTCCTTGTCTGTGTGTGTGTGTGTGTGTGTGTGTGTGTGTATACGCTTAGAAAATACCCGGCCCATAAGTCATTTGCTTAAATCAATAAAATCGTGGTGGACTTAATCCTTAACTTTTCTCGTCCCCATATTCAATCTAGTATCTAGCTCTCTCGCTATAACCTAGAATTCATTATTTCATTGAGTGTGGATAGTCTTACTCAGCCACCGGGTCACTCTTTCGGTAATTACAAGTTTTAATGACACTGCTCGGTCCTAGGATACTCCATCAATTCCCGAGTTTTAGGACACCGTCTGACCCTGGATACTCCACCCCTAATATCCGAGTTTTAAGAACACCGCATAGCTCCAAGGCACTCCACCCAAACCTATGAGTTTTAAGAACACCGCTCGGCCCCAGGGTACTCCACCCAAACCTATGATCTACCATACACTTTACCCGATTATGGCCTACATCATATCATTAATAAAGACTAATCTCAACCTTAACATCTAAGCACAATAATTCATGCAAAACCATGCATTTAAAGTACATACGTCATGACCGGCATTGTACCGGTCCTTCCTATAACCAACGCCGATCCTCTTTTAAATCAACATACTCCCTCCGTCCCAAAATCGTTGGCCAATGTTGACTTGCACATGGATTAATAAAGTAAAAACTGTGTGGTTAAATTTTGTGCAGAGGAGAAAGAATTAACTTTAGCCACATATTCCTTACTTTAAATTGAAATGGCCAACCTTTTTGGGACGGCCAAAAAAGGAACTTTGGCCAACCATTTTGGGACGGAGGGAGAATAACTGAATAAGTTAATGTCCGAGAACCAACCGACGTCGGGTTTACCCCTAACAGGCACCGGCTTTACCCTTAACCGACACCGGTTCCATTTATCTAAAATCTTATAAACACCAATGAAGGTTAGCACATTTTAGGTATAAAAAATGTGTTGGTCTAAAAGCATGCAACATGTGGTTGTACTATGTAATGCAACATGTGGTTGTACTATGTATTTTAAACGATGTACTCCTGATTAGTGTCCTTGTTTTTTCCGTTTGTGTTAATTTAGCCTGCTATAACATTCTTTAACGGTGTTAACCTCATCCGTCCACTTCCCGCATCATTGTTCCCGTTTCGCCATTAATTAATGTGAAAATGGTGAATTAGGTCTTTTCCAATTTTCATACTCCCTATATGCATAGCCGTTTTCCAGGGCATATACCAATCGTTATGGTCTTATGGCTGCAAAACTATTTTGTATTTTTGTATACAAACAAGGTTTCCAGGAGGGCATCACTTCAAAATTGTTTCCCGTAAGGCCGTAAGTGATTTAACAAATTGATTTTGCTTCTTATATGTAACTCTGCACACATTCTTGTACAGTACACCAACCATAGGTTTAGTTTGATGTCCCTTTATGTCGAATTTGTCCTATTTCGGCTTAAGGTTTTAATTACCAAATACTCCCTCAATCCCACAAAATTTGGTCAAAGTTGACTTGCACGTAGAT